GCTTGCATCGGAGAGGCTGTGTTTCTAGCACACGCTCGTGGCCTTTCGTCAGAGTTTGGTAGGGCGCGAGCTAAATGCTAACGGATTTCGTCGAGAATGAGCGTAGCGACAGCAGCAGTTTTTGCGTAATTTTTGCTACAATTTTTTAATAAAATATTAGAGTTGGTTAAGCCTCTTGTACCGTCCATATTTGTGCGACAAGGGCGAAAAAGAAATTTCTGGTCTAGTGAAGAAGTCTTGGGGCTCAACAAAAAGTGATTTAAAATACTTTGTAAGAAGATCTTCAGAAGACCATAAAATGCTGAAAGAAATAAGCAACGGACACTGTAAACATCACATACTGATTTTTTTTCTCAGCTGGACGAAGAACTGAAGCGAAATCCCAAGTGTACTGAAACTATCAAATCGAGCAGAAAAAAATGATGTGCCTATCCAAGATTTTATTGTAAATGATTAATTGTAAGAAAGGAAAAATGTTTAACCGATACATCGAATCTTTATTTTCTAATGAGTTACTAGCGCTGTATTACTTATTGGATAATTGAGTAGCGGAGTGCACAATATTGATATTGTTTTTGATGGTATCGTTTGACTTTTACGTGTAATGAACATATATACTCCATTCGCTCGCAAGGTGGCAGTACGTTGGAGGCTACGTATTCGTTAGGCCAGTCACACGACCGTCGTTTACCACGTGACCACGTTACCGCCCATATCCAGTCAGAGAGAGCGTATTGTCAGCTGATGAAACGGAGGTGTCTGCATGGACCGGTGAGCGCGTGGCTCCCATCGCACTGTGCTATAGCTCATGAACGGATTATAGAAGGCTCTGATAGAATATCTTCAAGTGCCCTATGCACGTGCCGAGGCATGATAGTACGGTTCCTACATGTTTAGGGTGTCTGAAATGACCGGGCTAAATCCAAAATGAGCCGTAAAAATCGGCGCCTGAACGTATCAGTCTCCCCTTTTCGTCAAAGGTCCATTTCACAGGTGGGTTTTATCTTGTAAAATTCTGTAAGAAATAGAAAAAAAAAACACTTCCCAAGGTCAACGGCAGATGGCGCCGCAGATGACCGAGTCGAGTTGTGGGGCGCGTTTCGCACACGTATCGATAGTGGGAGCTACCTGCCTGTTCATGCTTGCTTTACAAAATATATCAAAGCTGGCCACGTCGACTGGGGTTTATTAAAACATACCATGTTAAGATGCAAACAATTAGCGTTGGGAACTGCGGTTATCCTTGTTACTTTTTTTCGAAATGTGCAGGTGCAGATGTAGCGTGGCTTGAACGCTTTTTTACCAGGAACAGATTTTTTTTCTTCATTTCAAACTCTAATCATCGGATGCAAATTATGCTTATCTGGCGTGCCCTGTGAGGATATCAAATTATTTACAACCGGTGTCGAAGTGGTCTTACAGATCTGTGATCATTCTAAATTTGCCTCTGTCGTCCGTCATGCCGTGGATTAGAATGACCTCTTGATTTCATTCTCGTAGATGCATTTCAAGTAGGGCTGCGAAATTGAACGATTAACCTATCGATTGATCGACTACTGATATAATCTCGAAGGATTTATTTAACCGGTTAATCGGTAAAATTTTGACGAACATTGAGGCAAAAACTCGGCACTATCACCACGCAGACGTGAACGAGTACACCTGTATGAAGGGCAAACTTTGGGCTACATTTTAGCCTAAACTTAGCTGTAAGGGCGAGATTTGTAACTCCAGACAATTGCAGTAGGTTTCACGTGTCCCGTCCATTTCAACGCCGTTCGTGTGTCTGTCTAGCGCAGCAGAGGCTATTGTGAGCAATCAAGGAAGGTCGCTCTTGCCAAAGAATATCAACGAACCTCTTTTCCTCTGTCAGTGTGAGTGCCTTTGAGCGGTTCTTAACTAAACATGGAGGCTGATTCGAAATCAAGCTGGTATATTCCGCCGGTTGTCACAAATTCAACAAAAACAATTTTTTTTAATACCTTGTGTAAAAATGCACGAAGCCGGTAGATCGATTAATTAATCGATTAAAAGGTGGCGATTAATCTGGTTGAACGTTTTAATCGACGCCCGTCCCTAATTTGAAGGCGCAATAAAGCTTCAGGTGCCTGGACTTCAAATGTCATAGGTTCCTTTATTACGGTTTCCCGTGAGTGTATGCTGAAATTATTGTTTTTCACTAGCCTGATCACGTACACAGATAAAACGAGAAAAGTCGTTTGGGAATGGTGAAAACCAGAAAGTATGTTTTTAGTAAGTTTAAACTTAGAAACCTTAGTAGGGTACGCTAACGCTAGTTGGCTCATCTTAGTAAAACATAAAATAGAGCAAAAAAGACAAAGACAAAAAGTATACAGGACAGGCGCTAGCGCCTGTCCTGCATACTTCTTGTTTTTGTCTTTTTGTGCTATTTTATATGTTTTACTGAGAAAAGTTAAAATGAGAAAAAGTATGAGAGTGGTCAGAACCAGAAAGTTGGTTTTGAGAAAGTTTGAAAGGAGAAAGGTTAAAATGAGAAAAGTATCTTTGAGAGTGGTCAAAACCAGAAATTTTGTATTGAGAAAGTTTGAAAGGAGAAGGGTTAAAATGAGAAAAGTAGTTTTGAGAATGGTCAAAATCCGAAAGTATGTTTTGAGAACGGTTTAAGTGAGAAAGGGAGAAACGCGAAAGTTGTTTTGCGCTGGGTTAAAATGAGAAGGTGAAAACGAGGAGGTAGAAATGCGAACAGGTTCAAATGGGAACCACCCGCCTCCTCGGTTGTCTGCGTCGCCGTACGCCGCTGACCCTGATAAGTTTTCTGGCCCAATTTTTGTAATATTAATTACAAAATTGTTTTGTCATTTTACAATGTAAAATCCACCTGTGAATTACACCTTTGACGGAACGCTTAGATTGCTACGTGCAGGCGCCGAGTTTTATGACCTATTTTTGATCCAGCGTCGGAATTTCAGACGCCCTGTTTATTCTATTTAGTATTTCGCTTAAAACATGGTTTGTTCGACAAATCATGAAGATCACAATTGTGATTCCAGTTTTGAATTGCGGGAACAAGAAGCTATAGGGGGAGCATATCGAGAAACTCCAGTCTATACTTGAGTACGCGAGAGCAATATGGGACACCTAATAGGATGGTCTAACTGAAAAAAGAGAAAAGCCCTAAAATTAACAAGAGCATTTTTTAATAATTAATATAACTCCTACCTTGTATATTAGAGATGACTGTAATGCTGTCGCGGTAATTATTGAGATTACAAAAGAGTATTATAATTGATATGTTTTATCCAAATAAACTGTAAAAAGACAATTACTGATAAACATGACTTACTTGTGCAACCAACTTGCGTCTGGTGCCGGTGTGATTATTCTTCAAATGATATAGGCTATCATTCTAATGCAACCAATCTTTTTCGTATCCTTTTATCAAAACGTCCTTAGACTGGAGAATCTGTCTTGAAAAACTGGTCAATACTTTAAAAGTATATTTCTACGTGTTTGACATTAAGACTGAATAAGTTTTACGATAGTGTCCTGGAACCGCTGTGTACATAATTTGACTTGATAAATAATAAAGATATAAGTACCCTCATGGGTATAAAAAAATATCAAAAATATTTCTAATTAAACACTGCAAATAGAATACAAATAATTTAACAAATCACGAGTGTCGATGCTGGATGCCAGTGTGGGCCGAAGATTTTTCCAGTCTCCAAAAGTTAGTGGTAAAATTATTCGTTAAACTTGCTACTGGGACCAGGATTGTGCTGAACGTTATAACCCTTCTAAAAGCCATATAACGCCAGTGGCGAGGTCTAGTAGTGAGGTCACCCGGAAAGGAAGTTGTCTGCTTCTTGTGCAAAAGGTTGCTGACGTCAGAATGACGCCGAGCTCTGATTGGCCTTGATGGAAAGTATAGTGGGTAGACCTCAATGCTAAATGCCTTGAGGTCTACCCACTATTTTAGAGCGCAGCTCTTAGGGGCCCGTTCCCGGCTTGAGCGGCGTCGGCATCGCCGTCGGCGTCGCCGTTGGCGTCGCCGTCGCCGTCGGCGTAATCAAGGTCATCCCAAGGTCACGTGACCCCCAAGGTCACGTGACCCCTCCCAAGGTCATCTCAAGGTCACGTGACCCCACGTGACCCCCTGAAGGTCACGTGACCCCTCGAGGTCACGTGACCCCTTCCAAGGTCATCTCAAGGTCACGTGACCCCAAGATGACCCCACGTGACCCTTTGAAGGTCACGTGACCCCAACTCACGTGACCCCTCTGAGGTCACGTGACCCCCGAGGTCACGTGGTCTCCTCCCCAAGGTCACGTGACCCTTTCCAAGATCATCTCAAGGTCACGTGACCCCAAGGTGACCCCCAGGTCACGTGACCCCTCTGAGGTCACGTGGCCCCCCGAGGTCACGTGACCCCTCCAGGTCACGTGACCCCCAAGGTCACGTGGGGGTCACCTTGGGGGTCACGTGACCTTGAGGTGACCCCCAGGTCACGCCTCCCCGAGGTCACGTGACCCCCTCCCCGAAGTCACGTGACACCCCCCCCCCCCCCCCGAGGTCACGTGACCCCCCCCCCCCGGAGCATATTAAAGAATGAGGGGAGGAGGAGGAGGAGAAGGGGGAGGGGTCTACCCTCCCCTCAGTACCCTTCACTCCTCCTCCTCAAGAGCTGCGCTCCAATTCGGCGTTACAGGGATTCGTAAACGGCTTTCACTTTTTTTTCAATCAGCCAATAATAACTCGGCTTTCTGACATCATTGTAAGCTATGTCCATAAACTCGGAGAACTTGCGCTTCGAATACAGCGGCGTGAAAGTGACACAGTATAGATATGAACACTTGCTACGGCGTGAGTAGTGGTTCATTAAGTTGAAGTGTCATTTCACCATAAAAACACTAATTGCTTTGCTTATAATTAGAAAAAAGGTAGTTAAATTTCTATAAGCGGGTAATTAGAAGACGACTCTGTTATTCATTTTATACTCCGTCTTGTTTTTGAAACAGGTGGATACGTGTAAACCAAACTTTGGTTTTAAAAAAGTCCGGCAATCATCCTCAACCAAACGTGATGCAGTTTCAACGAAACCCAGGTAAGGTTTAACTTATGTGTACATTCATCCCATTAAGCTTTCATGTAGTCCAAGACCATACATTTATTAAGTTAAGCTCTAATTAGGAACATAGAGATCTGCTACACACATCTAGAGCAAGCGGAAATAGCTGTCATCACTAAAATTTTAAAACAAACTGTTTTACTAATAAAATATTTAATCGAATAATAATAAAGGTAATTAGGTTCGTATCAGAATCTAGATAGTATAGTCAAATACAGCTAACCAGAGGGATTCAAGGAGACGCCAGGCTCTTTAAATCGACGGCAAAATTCGGTTTCTTAACCTATGGCGCAACAACTTTGTGCAGCGTTTCCCACACATGATGCTTTTTTTTTTGCTTTTTTTGTAAAATTTGTAAAGAGCGAGCTTACCTGAGGAAAAAGTAAAGAAAGAAAAAGGCTTAGCTCCTATGAAAACGCAGCGAAGCCGCCGGTCTTCAGACAACACGGCGCCGTTTCGCACGGGAGACAAGAGATGGCGCAACGAACGCCGCCAACGAACAAGCATACGGCGCCGAGAGCCGGCGTCTTTAGCAGACAATCTTTTTGACTCAAAAGCGGCGCGCGTTTTGCAGGCGGCGACAGTCGCAGAAACAAAAACAGGCGCGGTAACTACAAGTTACTGTAGTTCCTTGTCTGCTAAAGACGCCGGCTCTCGGCGTCGTATGCTCGTTTCGTTGGCGGCAGTTGACGTCGCGACCGCTTGCGCCATCTCTTGTCTCCCGTGCGAAACAGTGCCCATTTGTTTGAAGACCGGTGGCTTCGTCGCGTTTCCATAGGAGCTAAGCCTTTTTGTTTCGGTACTTTTTCCTCAGGTAAGTTCACTCTTTGCAAATTTTACAAAAAAAAAAAAGCACCATTTGTGGGCAACGCTGCACAAAGTCGTAGGGCGATAGGTTAACAAACCGAATTTCGCAGTCGATTTAAAGAGCCTGGCGTCTTTCTAAATCACCACGTAGTCACTCACGATATAGGAAACGGAGTGCGTGTCGAGTCTGGAGCATGTCGTTATTGTTCCGCATCCAATAGAGTGCGACATTAGCCCATACAAACCCCGAAGCACAAATCACACGATGCAAGAAGACGGACCATATTGAGTCACGGCCCGCGTTTCTTAAGCTGTCAGTGATTAAAGTGTGTAAACACAAAGCGCCTACACGGTCCCAGTCTTCGAACATTGCACCTAACGCGATACCCTTCGGCACCAACATTGCCGTTAAAACCAGACAGATCTGTGTGTGATATATAGATTGTGTTTTTTTTTATTGGTAGCAACAACCTGCGTCGTCTGTTGTGTAGAGGAGTACCAATTAAAGCTTCTGAATAATAATTTGAATATCACCTCCCCCCCTCCCCCTCCCTCGGCACACACACACTCCATCCTCAGGTGCGCACACTATTTTATCTATATATTTTGCTTATTTTCCCTCCTGCGCCACCTGAATTATCTGAGGATAGCAAGTGGCACGGTGGTGAACTGGGTCAGTTGGTTGACATGATTAATGATGCGGAAAAGAGCTTGGAAAACCGGATGACGAAAAAGAACATACGCGACAGAACAATGCTGTACTAGCCACTGAAGAAAAATAGAGGAAACAGATAAAGAAAGCAAACTCAGTATCTTAAAAGATTGCACCGAGACACTCGTTGGTAATCTACATTCCTTAAGCGTTCACTACGTGACTAATTTTTTCGCGCAGGAATTCGGACATCTCTTTTCCTGACAGCGTCAGCAATTGTTCACTGATACATGATTGCCCATGACATGAAATATGTAAAGCCTTTATGATCTCTCTCGTCACGCTATCTCTGTATGCGCCGAGAATGGTGACCCTGCCAAAATCAGGCCGACACTCGCAATCGCTGCAATGAATTGGCAAAAGTCCTAACCCATGTCTCCGAGAGAATAGGTATACACTTTTAATCTGTCATTCAAACATCTTCCTGCTTGACCCCCATAGCATCTTCTACACAAGAAAGGGATCTCATACACAACGCACGAAACATAAGCGACAAAAGGTTTTCTATGTGCCCCTTGGTGCACTCCGCCTTCGCCCGCCTTCGCAGGCGAAAATTCTTCAGTTGCGGGTACAGCATTGTCCTCTCCCGTATGTTCTGTTTTGTCGTCTGCGTTATCTGAGGCGTTTTTCATACTGCCGGGTGAAACAAGGAGACGGTAGGCTCTTTAAATCGACCGGAAAATTCGGTTTCTTAACCTATCGCGCTACGACTTTGTGCAGCGTTGCCCACAGATGGTGCATTTTTTTTCGTAAAATTTGCAAAGAGCGAACTTACCTGAGGAAAAAGTAAAGAAAGAAAAAGGCTTAGCTCCTATGGAAACGCAGCGACGCCACCGGTCTGCAATCAACACGGCGCCGTTTTGCACGGTAGACAAGAGATGGCGCAACGAACGCCGCCAACGAACGAGCATACGGGCGCCGAGAGCCGGCCGAGGTATTCCTCAAAGGCTCTTTAAAAGCACACGATCTTTTCGACTCAAAAGCGGCGCGCGTTCCGCAGGCGGCGACAGTCGCAGAAACAAAAAAGACAGGCGCGGTAACAACTAGGAACTGCAGTTCCTTGTCTGCTAATTACGCCGGCTCTCGGCGTCGTCTGCTCGTTCGTTGGCGGCAGTTGGCGTCGCGACCGCTTGCGACATCTCTTGTCTACCGTGCAAAACGGCGCCGTGTTGATTGCAGACCGGTGGCGTCGCTGCGTTTCCATAGGAGCTAAGCCTTTTTCTTTCTTTACTTTTTCCTCAGGTAAGTCCGCTCTTTGCAAATTTTACGAAAAAAATGCACCATGTGTGGGCAACGCTGCACAAAGTCGTAGCGCGATAGGTTAAGAAACCGAATTTTCCGGTCGATTTAAAGAGCCTACCGTCTCCTTGTTTCACCCGGTATTAAGGAAATGGCGTTTATATATATATATATTGTTTTTTAAAGCTAGTGCGCAGTCAAAAAACAAAAGACACCCAACCAGTACACACAAAAAATCACATTGCACCGACGCACTTTTTGCGTTTAATTTGAGGAGCCGCGAAAAAAACACTCAAAGAAATCTGATGAACGCCATAATGCAGCTATGTCGGCATGCTTCATGGTCGCCGTCAGTTCCTATGCGGGTAGATATCAAGGGAAGGAATGAGATCAGAGAGCGCAGGGACGTCAGAGGGGCGGGCTCTGACTTAAATAATATAAACAAATAAGCCCCTTTAATATTTTTTTTGTTGTGCCCACAAAAAACCTTGCAATCTACTGTGTGGTGCACAAAATATATGTGGAATTTTTAGATATAAAATGAAAGGCCCTTACAAACCTCTGTAATGCGAAAATAGAGCTCAGCGGGCTATTTAGATTTTGCGATATTCCGTGCTAAACAATTTGAGAAAGAAATATATATATAAATATATATAGATCACTCTCCTCACATACTGATTCTGCACCCTCCACCTCTTCCATGTACTCTTCCTCCTCTGTCCCCTCCTCCTCCATATCTTCCCCGCCTCCTTTTCTGTACCCTCCCCTTCTGCTCCTCCGTACCCTCCCCTCCTGCTCCTCCGTACCTTATCCTCCTACTCCTCTGTACGCACCCCCCTCCTCCTGCGTATCCTCTTTAGACGGAAAGTTTAATCTTGAAATTGTATCCTCATAAGCTACTTAATAGATACACAAATTTTCGCGATTTCTAAAGCTCTAGTAATTGCAATAATCAATCAATGTACAAATGTTGATCATTTGCATCTGGCGACCAGGCAGCACTACCCAAGTTAGTCACACGGTGACTATAAATCACGTGATCATAATGCGCAGTTAAACACGCTCATTCTAGGCACCTCCATGCTCGACCAAGCTCTGCACGCAACGATCGCACCGTATACGCTACTCGGCTACCTTAATGCTACTCTCCCTTTCGCCCTGTGCCCTTTGGAGTTCCACCCTGCATGCACGTGGGAGGTCGTCCCGGAAAACAGCGATTTCGTCCTCGACGATTTCGTGGTCGTCGCTGCAGCTGGTGGCCGGCGAGTCAAAGTAAAAATGACGCTCCCAACATTCCTCGATAACAATTACTCTCATTGCTGCTGCGATCAGTGTGAATCACTTCGACGAAGAAAGGTGTGGTGTACCGTGCGCGTTTCGTCCGGGCCTGACTCGAGAGGCTTCCATTATCAGCATTCCAGATAACCAATCTTTCCGCCCCCCACGTCATCGAGCAAGAGATCGCGCGCCACTGACCGAGGGAGGTGTCTGGTTACCGTTGCTTTCTGGCCACGTAACGACTTGCAGATGCAAGTTCAGACTCGCTGGAAGACGGGACGGACCCATGCTAGAGAAACCGCGGGTTTTTAGGGGTATGGTGAAGGGGACTTAGTGGTAAGGAGAGGAAGGAGGGGCGACCGGGTGGAGCCCAGAGATCGACATTTTTGTTGAACTCACTCACTCACAGCTGCCTAAAATAAGAAGTTAAAACTGACTCACACTCACCCTCACGCCTGCACTCACCTTCAAGTTCTAGCTCGCGAACTCATGAACTCACCGAACTCATGAACTTAATGAACTTACAAACTCACGCCCCTCATCGAACTCACCCACTCACTCACCGACCTCGTTCATTCAGAGGTAGTTCTCGCCCTCACCGTAGTTGCGGCGCTGGCGTTCGTGATTCGCGGCTTTTATTCGTGACTTCAGCGACCTATAGGGGACGCTACTATACAAGCAAATCTCGCGGTCCAATACAGGTCATGTCCTGCCACGGCCAGCTCAACGCACAACGCTGGGGCATGAGCATGAGCAAGCATTCGACTCAAAATAGTTTCCCCGCTTTTAAAGCGCAGCTCTTAGGCGCCCGTGTCCGGGCTGAGCGGCATCGCCATCGGCGTCGGCGTAACCACGCGCGTTATATTATGGGACGTTTCTCCGCTAACTAAAGTTAGCGGGAAAATTTCTCCGCTAAACTTAGCGGGGAAATTTTTCCGCT